TCATTTTGTCAGTGAAATGTTACGACTTGCATTTAAGTTTGATTACGCTTTCCACTAAATTCGAATTTAAACCTTTTTTTACAGAACGCTCAGTGTAGGAATACTTATTAGTCACATGTCCTTTGAAAATGCATTAAAGTCATCTACTCCACCTTATTCGAGTTCAACGAAGAAATGTACAACGAAAAAGCATTTCAGGAAATAGCAGCCGAAATACTGAATCTAAATGATTTTGTACTAAACAATCTGTCATTTACGCTGAATGGCCGGAAGTATAATTTTGGAAAGGATATATGCGTTCGCACAGCACTTTGTCCTTTTAGCAATACCATCGTTCAATTCTTTTTTGACGCTTTCTGGAACAAGAAGGTTCTGCTCTTTTGTATACCTTTATGATCACCATTACCTCCAGCCTGTGTTGCAGTAAATATACAGAGACGAATATTTTGAAACAGCAAGATGGAACATTTTTATTGATTAGTCAGTATTCTTCTGGTTGCATCGATCGCTTTTAGCTCTGGGATGATCCTCGTGTGCGACTGGATTACCCGTTCCTGTATTTCTTTGAGAACAAACTCTTTTTGCCGCTCCATTTGTATGGAGTGGAGCTCGGCGGCAAAAAAGGTATCAAGTCCGTCGAAATGATCCATTTACACTATCCAGTGCCGTCCACAGAGCACGTAAGTCTCAATTTTTCACGAAATTCTCGTACATTTGTGAAATCACTAGCAATACGCACCAAGCGTGCCCGTATGACCATGCGTTTTTGCAATATTTCGTGCTGTAGTAAGATGACTAGGGAACCCAGCATCTAGGATTTGTGACATATTGGTCCTCGAAGTTCAGGATGTTGACTGTGCAAGTATGTGGTACTTGGACAAGGAACATTCTGTTAAAATTTCAGTCTCCCTGCTTTCCTGGTTCAAGTTAGCGGTTTTCTGCCCAAAAATCTTCACCGGGCAATACGTGATGACCATGCACATCTAGAAGCTGAATTTGAAACCTTTAAGTTATACGTAGTCTGGGAATATCCCCTTAAAATTTCAGCTTCCCAGCATTTCTGATTCTCCCACCAAAACTTCCACGTGCTCGTATACGAGGTCCCGACGTGCATGAAAGCTGGTACCGCGCTGAGTTAGCACTTGGCCGGGAACCCACTGGCAAATTTTGGCGCCGGAGCCTGCTTGGTTGCCGAGTTGAAATACCCGGACAGAAGACAGATAGATACACACGCATAAACATACACGTACGCACGCTGGGGTTGTCATAATATTGCGCTTTTGTATTCGTATACACGCAAGGCACGTAATGAAGCAGCCGAGTTATTTTGCAGGAGACGGCTGAAGTAGTGGGCGATGCGTTGGAGCGTGCGCTGCTGGATTACATGGTGGGAAGGAGCGATCGCAGTCTGATCAGGACATCGATGTTCAGCTTTTCGATGCTGAAAAATGAAATGAACAAAAATGCAATGTATACGTTCCCGTTTATTTCCCTCACGCTTCTACTACTCCTTGCGTTCACCATTTTGTCCTGGTTCGTTAATTCATCTTTCATTTTTTGTCCTTTCCTCCACTTCTCCCCCCCCCCCCCCCCCCCCCCCCCCCCCCCCTCCCCCCCCCCC